TATACAGTTGAATAACAATAGGCTACCTATACATTCCACACAATCTCATATGTTATTCTAGCTCACTCATTTCAAAGCGCCTTTGTGGTCAGTCTCTATGCCATATATTGTGTGCAGAATCCACCCGAACAGTCCTAGTTATCGCAAGCATTTCACTTTGACTGACACGGTACTTGATTTCAGTTTCAATCACGCATCAGCAATGCGTTCTATCCATCAAAGTATGAGAGACAACTCCACTCACGAAAGATCTGATCGAGCTAAATAGCAGTAGAAATAGAAACGTTTCATTCACTTTGTAATCATCAGACCACATATGGTATCAATACGAGGTATTTCCAACTAAACCACGGATGTGGTGAAACCTAACGAAATGCTCTGTTACCCCTGAACGAATACTGGCTAGATCATGATTAACATTCTGTTTGCGACTAATGACAATTGTCATACACTAAACTATACTAGTCAGAAAATGAATTAGCACTGAAAACGCATGCGTTACAGATACGCCAACATTAATCTCATCGGACGCATGCATATAACACTCTGCCATGAAAATGCTCAGTTGGTTTGGCAGATGTACGCAGAAAGCCAGTTGAAAGTCTTATGAATCACATTGATGCCTTTCAAAACAAACATCCCGAGGGTATGACGCATTAATCACCAGGTTTTGTAAATTCACAATCCCACCGTTTTACATACTTTCACACATAACCACTACCGGATTAGTGTCAACAATATTCACCAAATAGAGCCTACGCGAATGTCTACTCATATGGTAGGCCGAATTCAACCTCCCAAGCTGAACTTCAAATATTCATCATTTTATAAGTCGATTTGAGTTTTCAAAGTCTCTGTCCTGATTGACTGACTCAACTAAAGTACGTATCGCAGTCAACACATTGTTATGATTTAGTCCCCCATTCCTTGTTTGTGACGAGAAATGTCTGTTGCTCGTAGCCGGCCTCCATCTATTTGCAGTTACTCATTGACAAGGCAAATAAACAACTTGGAAGTAGTTAAAGTTAGGTCTCCTTCTTAGTTCTGAATACGTTTCTCACAGTACATATTGGAATGAGTGTGAATACATTGTGATATGCCACACATCTATGTTACTTGCAGTGTGAACTGTCATAAAAATGCTCAGTTGGATTGGCAGATGTACGCAGAAAGCCAGTTGAAAGTCTTATGAATCACATTGATGCCTTTCAAACCAAACACCCAACACTAGTCAGAAAATGAATTCAGAAGACATAAACATGTCCATCAAGGCAAATAGTTTTGCAATAGTAGTACAAAAGAAATTCTTCTCTATGAATGATGCATTCACACGATGAAATTACAAAGATATGCATTTTCTCTAATACATGGCTAGTGATGCTTGATTACAGAACGTTTACAACAAATCTGACTGTTTACTCGATTGGCATACTGTCCAATGGAGCTTGAGATGTTAACCTCTGCCAAAGAATTCACGTTTGCCTTCATCGTTCACCGAGCACACATGCTTGACAGTAGGAATGATGAAAAGAGAAAAAGTAAGCAGCATTAACATCTTCTGTGGGCCATGTGAACATATAGTTGATGCATTCAATATTCACATGACAAAATCCGTTGTGGAAATGAGCTTTGAGAGTGTGGTTCGAACACCAGACAGATGCGAAACATCGGTCAGTGGAATATTTCATCTAATGATGGTGCTTGTACATGTTTCACTGTAAATTCTCAGTTGGCTCGTTCAGGCAGTTGTTTGTGTGTGTGTGTGTGTGTATCTTTTCTCATTGTGCCACATTGGACTGTTGAAGTGGTGCATGTTCCACTTGTCGATCAACATAATAACTCGCATCCATACTTACTCATCATTCACCAACAGATCTCACTCAGCACACTCGACGTGGTCATTTTACATGAAATTATAAACACAAAGACGATAACAATAACACTTCCATTGTCCTCTTCACTTACCGGCACATCACGGAAACAATCATTGTAGTCGATACCATATCCCACTATGAATCGGTTCGGGACCTCGAAGCCAACATCTACAAAATGTCATTTCATGTGAATAAGTCTGATGAAACAAGTTAAAATGAGTCATGCTGACAATCTGAGCGAAAGTGGGTTACACGTGTATTAGTCATTCAGCACGGTGTTACAATCAACCTGTAAGTAAGTATACTAATCAATGTAGTTTTCAGTGTCTCGATTACACAGTTGATGTTATTGTAATGAAAATGTAAAATAATATAAGAGGAAAGAATTTCATGTTCACTAGTTCTCTTACACGGTTGCGTTGCCTGTGATCAGAAACACTGTTAGTAGATTATCTTTAGAGATGAAAGTTGAAGACGGTTAATTGATATATTATTGCAACACAGTAAATAAAGTAGCTCTTCATCATTCAGTGTGCAACAAGCCTCATCCACCAATGAATCGGTGAGTGATGTTTCACTGTACCATATGAATATCTGTTCAGTAAGTTAGTTAGCTACCTCTCTCAAGAACTTTTGTTGTACTAGTTCAAAGGCTCACATCTTCAAATTTATAATGATTCGGTTTATATACATTTGAACACTAAGTTATCAAATCATAATTTGTAAAAGAAGAGATACGAATAGGTTAACCTACGCATAAATATGGTAGTCATTCTGTTAATAACAAGTTTAATAATGAGAACTCACAGTCCGGTTGGTATCCAGGATGATCAGCTATTCTTTTGACTAGTAAACTGTCATTTCAGAGAAAAATGACGACAACACAACACATTACACAATTAATAATAATAAAGAAACTAGTTTAGTCAATGTACTTGTGAAAAATACATACTAACCGGGTCAATATGTCGATTATCTACAGTCTGTATTAGCAGGAGTCGAGGTTGACTATGATCAACACTACAGACCGATCACGTTCCAGTTACTAGGTGAAATCCCTCTATGAAACCAAAACAAGGAATAAGATTGGATCCTGAAATGAATGTTTATTTGTTGGCGATCTTGTGGTATCGAAAGAGTATCGAGATAGTGCCAAAGTATACAGACGAAACTAATTATTTGCTAATAGTACACACACGGAGCCACAGATCTGTTAGGTGACATCAGTTTCTATACAGACTGAATATCTGTTTTGATTAAAGTGAAAGTAAGATAAACTACAAGATGAATCTTCTTCTTTTTCTTCAAACACTTAACTTTCATCTCACCATGTTCATGGAATTCTCTTAAAATGGATTCATGAGAATTCTGGCGAAAGTATATTATGATTAGTACATACCATGTGGAACAGATCGATTTTGGTTCGTATTTTCTAATATATTTTTCCAGATTGTTCAAACTTGTACCCGTGTCGACCAGATCTTCAGCAATGAGCACATGCTATTCAGAAGAACCAAATGATAATTATAAACTATTTTTTGGTTCAACTTACCTTATCTTTGAACTTCTCCATGTTTGTACATGGATTGATTTTGGTATCATGACCGACTGAATCATTCTGAATGTGTTGATAGAAATTACTGAATAAAATATTATTTCTACTTACGACGTATGTGCTCGCAGAAATGAAATCAATACAAATTCTTACGTATTTGTTACGCGTAACTGAATACTTATGTAAACATTTGAATAGATCATAAGCGAATTGATAGCCTCCCTTCAGTATGCAAATAATGTGGACGGTATCTGTGCCAGACCGTTCATATTCATTCAATATATCACGAGCCATTTTACTGATACGATCTAGAATCATTCCATTCGGAACTAATATGCTCTCAATATATTTTGCATAGTCTGATGGTAGAACGAAATTTTTTGCTGACTGTCCTTCAAAACTATCATCAAGCTAATTGAAAACACAGAAAGAAACTTTGAGGAAAATTCGAAGACTTACAATTATGCAGTCATCTTTATAATCACGTGAAGGCATTTTGATAGTGTAGAATAACTGACTAACATCAAAGAATAAACTACTGAGATTATATAGAGTGAAGCACACAATTTATCGTCCAACCAGATGTCTCGATACACTAACCAATCAACTACTGACTGAATCGATAATTTCACTATGTGATCTGACAAAGATTGATCAATCATAAATGAAAAAATTAGCTGGCCATATTTTGCTGGTTTATTGAGATTACTTCAGTAATGTTGATCAGTGATTGAAAAGAAGTATATTAAATGTATGTGATTTAAGTGGTGTGTGATTGAAGGATATATTATTCGATCATGTTCCATTGTTCGGACAATGGGCTTTTGTTATTGTATTTTATCATCCTTACCGCCTGTCTTACTATAATCTTCATGCACTTTTACCTTTCGTGTCATCCCCTTCATTGTAATTATTTAACCATAAATGGCCCCTCACGGTTTAACATTTCCGTACATATACTCACGCTAATCAGTAACATCTGATAGCGATCTAATTGCAAACAATACTTTACGACTATTTGAGTAGTTCCAAGATTCACAATGCAAGTATGTAGTAAGATTATTAATTTCTGGTGTTCAATACTAATAGGTATGTGACCATAATTACACTAAAACAAAGACAAAGAACGTAAATGAATTAGAAATATTGTGGCCTGAGGTGAACTTTTAGATTTACAAGACTAATTATGAAACGTGAATTCTTTTGATAAGGTTTGTTAGTATAAGATTTACAACTAAACAAATAGACCACTATTTTGTGTTGAATTGACACAAATAAATCGTAAATGAATCTGGAATGTTTGTTATGATTTGATTGTAATTTACTGTTTTGATTATATGTTTAATATTTCGTACTTCACAATATTGAACGTATTATTCATAGATTTGATTGTGATTTGGTGAATAACTATTCTAATTGTAAACAGAGTTGGATGACCTGTATCTCACAGGCTAAGGGCGAGTCCGAAATTGAACGAAACACGCATGCTGGATTCCACTGCTTGAAATGCTCGTGACCTGATGGCTATGTTGAGGGAATAGCACAGGATGTATACATACCGATTGAGACTGATCATTTGTAGTTGTAACTGCTAATGGGAGGATTCAAAGCATTAACAAAAATTTATTAAACTGTTTTCATTATTATATTCATGAAATGTTTTATTGGTACTTTTAACTGGATGAACCTACATCTTAGAGTTGGTGTTCACTTTCATTCAGACTGAAACCGAAAACCGTTTGTTTCAAACGCCATTGCATTGTCCACTCAGCCACTGAATGAGTCCACATAACCACTCACCTGTACAGCAGATATGAGATTTAATACAATTTGAAATGGTGTAGATTATCCCGTGGTTGATATTTTGACTGAAATTTAATCAATATTAGTTGGTATATGGACATCACATGTGGATATCCTCAATCAAGTCCTTATGACTCAAGTTTACATGCCAACGATACAGATCAAATTTCAGTCAAAATATCAACAACAGAATGATCCAAACCATTTCAAATTAAACTATATACATTTTTAGTACTTCCGGAACTATAAGCAGTTCAGTATTGCTTATCATTTTGCTTATATTATTTCTATTAAACTTGATCTGCTATTTGTCGAATACAAATGTGTGATTTTCTAAAAGTATCCAATTATTTCAGAAAAAAGTCATCTCAACTGTTTAAAAGACTAATTCGTAGTTCGAAATCTACTTCAAAGTTGTTCTGGGATATTGGATGTTGTTTATGTCATGGTAAGAGATATCATTTCATAGTTCACAAAATTATTGATATGTTGGTTGTCACAAATGTGGAGAGGTTGAATATTTTAATGAAAAATTTGATCTTTCAATGCTTGGAGTTCTTCGATTGTTCAACTGAGGTGTAGAATCTATTTTGAAGGTTTTGTTTTTGGAAAATCCCTCCATGTATATATATTTGTGTTATGATATGACTGACTCTTCCTGTTGACATTTTGGTACTTTATTTGGTTCCATTTTGAGATTTTATCATTGTATATTGTTATTATTCTATATCTGGTACTTATATTGAAGTTTTTATGTTTCCTTCTGAACTGTACATATGTTATATAAATTTGATATTAAATATGGCTACAGCTATATTTGGATTTGATACTGTAACAGTAACGGACTGGAAGCACTTATTCTTCCTGAAACGGATACCCATCGCGGTAATTTGGAACTAGAAGGTGTAATATTGTTTGCATCGTTTTCTCCCAGAATTATCGTGTTTTTGATTCGGATCTGGGCGAGCGCGTACCAGACTGCACCTATTCGAGACGGAGTGAACTGTTGGAGTAGAAAATCCATTTACAGTCCAAACAATAGAAGAAAAAAGAAGCCCTTGGAATTTTTATCGTTTACAATCTCAAAACACTTCCTGGAAGAAGAACGTTTGGACTGCATATCATTTATTTTGTTTAGACTGTATTTTGGAAAACGATCTTTTGGTCCTTTTGGATTTCTCATTGACGAAGAAGCTTCGTCGGTGAAATTTTATATTTGGTCTTTCTTATTTCCTTTCCGTTGAGTTTCAATTGATCATGAGTTCTCGAAAGAAAGCAAACACGAAGAGAGATGGAGTCCTTGAAGAATCGCGGGATATGAGGCAAGTCCCTTATGAAACTTCAATTTTAAAGGGTTCACTCTCTAGTAAGGAAAATATTATGCATAGTACTTTTTGTTGTAAGTCACCATTAGAAGGTAATAGGGACAAGGTTTGGACGAGAACTTAGAGGTATCTGGAAACGATTTGAGGTCTAGGACACCGGCAGTTGGCTTAGGGTTGCCAAAGGTTTAACTCCCTTATTTTGACGGCCGACACCGTGATTACTTTAGGTTCGTCAAGCAGTTTGAGACATTTATAGAACCTAGAGTTATTGATGACAATCTGCGCTTATTATATTTAATCCATTACTCTAAGGGAAAGACAAGAGTTGCGATTGAAGGATGTCTTATAATGGAACCTCACTCAGGATATAAAAGGGCTAAGGCGATTCTAAAACGGCTTTTCGGACAATCGCGCGTAATCGCTCGTATGACCTTGGAAGACTTGTTTAGATCTGGGAATGCTGATTATAACGATCCAGAGCAGTTGTCGAATTTAGCAATTAAGATGCAGAACGTGGCTCTGATTCTGGAACAGTTAAATTGCACGGCGGAATCGAATTCGTTAGTAACTTTGGAGAAAATAGTTAGGCTTTTGACTCCTACATACCTCACACTCGGAACTTAAGAGAGTTGTTAATTATATTAGCAGGGTATATCCTCTTGAAGACCGAGCATGTAACCCTGTTAGTTTAAAATCCCTTGATGTGTATCCTAGTGAGAAGTCGGTATCTGTAGCAGACCTAATGCAGGTTGGCAGATGGTTGAAAACTGCGCCATTAGATTCCTCGTAGATGCTTCGGGTTCATGTGGTCGTGATATCAGGTGGCATATGGTATTTAATGGGACGTCAGCCAACTTTGGTTGCTCGAACCAATCTAAATCAAGTAAATTTAGATCAGCTGACGTCATATAACATACACCAGTAAATGACGAGTCTCGGAAGTTAACTTTACATTCCAATTGTCGCAACAGATGAAGGTAATTACCACATGCTGTACGAGGTTTTTGTGTTGTGTGCTGCAGGCTCGGGATGTGATATCAGACGTGGTATCTATTTGCGATCTGGTGATGAGTTTTGACAGTAAGATATTAGTCTCTCAGTACTGATGCGTTTCAACTTTATTCTGAATTTATTCTCAACTTTCCTCAAATATTATACCCACTATTTGATTTGGTTTCTAGGAAAGCCCTTCCATCGTATCAACAACATGAGAAAACCTTGAGCGTCATTCTGCTGTTCCCAACTAGTAAACTTCTTCTTAGCCGTTTACACAAGCCGAGAAGTCTATCCTGACTACCTATGCATCTCGATTAGCAATAGGTGCCGTTCTACAGCAGAGGTCGGAGACGATTAAATAATTGTAGACAAGCATACTTAAAAAATCAGAACAACACATTCGATGTTGTGTAGCAGTGAGAGGGACTTTACGAATATGGTTATAGTTGTTTGACCTAAAATTTAAAATTCCGACTAACCATTAATCCATGGAGTTCAGTTACCATACCTCTAAATCACTCCATTTGTTGTCGATTGTGATGGTTCTAAGACTGAATTCGCAAATAAACGCTCACGATTTTACTATTTCTTAGAGCATCGCTAAAAGTATACCACACTTGTCACTCCTCTCTCGAAAATCTACCTTTCTGAAGTTGATTATTTGTCGGTTAATCAGTTGCCTATGGATAGAACAAACATTAAAAAATACATAGCTATAATTAGGTGAGTAATTTGAAACTGTCCAAATTACAAAACCTAATAAAACTAGTAAATATTGAGTAGATGGACAGTTGAACTAACAGTGTCAATCGAATAATTGGATTAATCTCACCAAGCACTTACTGTGTGATGAATTACAAACCAGGAAAATGGATCATAATAACACACATTTCGATTTAAGAAGAATAGTTCACAACACAATCCAACATGCTTAGTTTATTCTATCCTATTCTATTCCGTTCAGTTTTTCAAACCTCTAATTTAGTAAGTGAATAAAAGGAACTCTTAACCTCTCTCTAGTAGATAAAGAAGAAAACAGTTTTGTTTCAATTGCGTGCCACTGTGTTAAGGAAGATCAAACATAAAAGATAATGAACAGTTTCATTTTTCTCTCTCCTTTTCTTTGTCATAATGAGACAGTGTTCTCTACCTTTACATACATCGATTTACAAGGGTCAATCTACTGATCACCCGCCCACGTAAATACTGGTGTTTTGCGCTGGTTATCAAAATGATTGTTTACAGAAAATGTTAGTCTAATTACTTTTATTCTAAATACTACTGGTGTTAACAAATTTCTTCCTCTCTGAGTGTCGCAATAGTGATTTTTGATGTCTATCAGTTTTGCTTTCGGATAATACACACATAACTTCGTCCAAGTTGGATATATGTCTTAAGTATGTTGACAAAAGTTCTAGGTCACCCACATCCATCCATTGATCGTCTA